AAAAAATCATCCTGAGTGAGGTAACCCAAACCCAGAAAGATCATAGTTTCTTAGTAGAGGGAAGGGAATGTTTGCTCCAGATAGTACCTGGCCATGTAAGGACAGTTTGTATTGCATTTTAGGAGTGAGACATGTTACTGATATCTAGTGGGGACAGGTCAGGAGTGCTGGTCACCCTCCCACAACAAAGAATGACCAGTCTCAGAAGGTCAACATTTCCAAAGTTTCAAAATTGTCGTTTAGACTGAAATGATTTCTCAGGTGAGCAACACACACTGAGGACTCCAGGGCCCAAACTCATGACTGCATTCTTTCTCTTTGGCAGTTGTCTAGGTGAATCTCTCAGCCTATACCATAGATCTCCAATGAGCAGAATGTTAGCATCTCTGAACTCTACCCCATTCCCTTGACTCTGCTTCCCCAGTGGCCAGAAGTCAATGAGAGTCCCTTACTAATCTTAGGAGCCCCTTTGCCCAGCATCTGCCTCCTGAAATGTTGCTGAGTGCTGATATTACCTATGGTCTCTTGATCTCTATTGACTCTTGACTCTATGACTATTATTTCCATTCTTGCCACCCTTCACCTCAGTGGCATTAGACACAGCCTCTTCTTTCGTCTTACATTTTTTAGGTTTCTTGCCTTCCATGTCACATGCTCTTAATTTTCTCCTGCCCCTTATTCCACCTGTTATTGTCCTATCCAAGTCTGCTGCCTTCTTCGGTTATTTCATTTTCAAGCTTCCACCAGACAATGCCAAACCTGTGATTTTCAACTCTGTGCTATTGGCTCACACAGTTTTATCTCAGATCTAGATTTCAGAGTTGCAAACCCATATATTCAACTACCCCCCGATTTCTCATCGATAGTCTTATAAGCATTTGCAGTCCCGTTTGTCTAATCTGAATGTGTCGTTTTCCCATCACTTCATCTGAGAACAGTATCCCTACCTCCCGAGATGCAGAGTAGACTCCCAAGGCAGACTCTTTTGTTTCCTGCTGACTTGCACCCTTGCATGCCGCCTGTCAAGGTCCTAGTAGTCAGTTTTCGAGATGTCTAGGAAAATTTCATTTTGCTCTTCTCTATCACAGGTCAAACTGCAGTCACCTTGGCCATGCACCTTGCTTTAGCTTTCTAATTGCTTAAATGTCCCTGTCTTTGCTCCTTCCATCCCATCCACTGTACAGCTGAAGGGATGGTGTGCATTTGCAAAACTGATCTTGCTGCTTCCTTTTCTGAATTTTCCCAATGCCTCTCCTTGCTCTGATGTTGAGGGTCAAGGCTCTTTCTTTGGCTAGGCATTATCTGACTCATCATACCTTACCGGCCCCACTTCCTGTGCTGTGGCACGGGGGTTTAGTCCTGTTTCTGGCCTACAGAAGCAACTTATTCACTCCCAGCTGGTGTCTTTACTCACAACATTCCCTCTGCACAAACGTTCTTTCTTTTCCTATGGAAAGGGGGGAGCCCTTTACATAGTTACTGAATTCCTCCCCTTCCTTTAAGACATTATAGTTTCCAAAGCCTAACACTTATTAATAGTTTTCTAGAGAGAAAAACCCTTATTTCATTAGATAGCCATACAGTGATTGGAAATTAATAGCAATTTGAAAATGTTTAATTTGAAGAGCTGTGACCCTTGTTATTAAATAGATAAGCTCAGAAAGTTTAACCTTCTTATAGATGGTTTATAATTCATTTCACTGTGTTTTCCTTCTTGTGATTACAATCACATAATTCCTAAATATCTGTGTCACCCATCCAAAGGTGAACTCTAACAGATACTATTACCACAAAGTCTTCTAGTTATGGAATAACACCTAACACAAAGCAATATTAAATAAGTATTTGTTGAATGAGTGAAACATAGGTTAAAATGAAATTATACACTTAATCCAGCATTGTTTAGTGAGAATATATATATATATATATGTGTGTGTGTGTGTGTGTGTGTGTGTGTGTAGTTGTTTCTCAATTGCTGCTGCAACAACCTGTCACAAATGTAGTGCTTTAAAGCAAAGCAAATCCAATCTCTTATGAGACTTAGAGTTCCCAAATCATTGTTCATAGACAATCAAGGCACCGGTGGTGCTAGAGTGTTCTGGAGGCCCCGTGAGAGAGTCCATATCCTGCCTTTTTTTACCTTTTAGTGGCTTAGTTCGTGGCCCCTTTTTCTTTTCTTCTTTTTGTAACACAAAAGCTTGGGTGGTCTGGGCTTCTGGGTGGAGAAGCCACAGCACCTCCAAGGGTCAACATGTTTATTATACAGTTGAACAGGGAGGTGGGGTTATTACAGATAAATAAGGAGGCAGAGTTATTACAGACAGCTGAGCAGGGAGGCAGGTTTGTCTAATCTCAGTAGGAGCAGTCTATGTTGGGAAGGTATAAGTATCTGGTGGGGGGAGAAAGCTATGGTGGACATTTTCTGCTCACACTACCAACAGCCGCACATTGACCAGAGGAAGGCTTTGACATTTCATTGAGCCTCACCAGGGGAAGGCTTTGCCACTCCAACAGGAATGTGGTATTTGGGTCCTGGATATGGCCATGCCCATGTCAACAACATACTCGGTATTTCTCTTGATCCCTACAGGTGTCTTTAAGTATGGCAGAGGCTTTCTAACCTCAGGTGTGGCCCTTTTTCTATCTCACAGTACATCCCTCTTACTTCTGCTTCACTATCACATTAACTTCTCTGATCTCCATGTCTCATGCCACCCTTTGGTAAGGGTTTTTTGTGAGTGTATTAGGTCTGTTCGGGTAATCAATGAACATCTTTCTCATCTCATGACCTTCAATCACATCTGTGTGATCCTTTTGTCTACATAAAATAATATCTGAGGGCCCAGAGTTTAAGATGTACATATTTTGGAGAAAATATTACTCAGTCTATCACCTACTCTGTCGTTGAAAGCTATGGGGCAGTTATATCCAAGTTAGGAAGTGAAGAATGAGCCAAAAGTATATCACATGAAAGTCAACTGAGTTATGGCTTAAACCTGGTATGGCGACTTGTGAGAATGAAACCTTGGGTAAATCCTTTCACCTCTTCAGGCCTCCCCTGCAAAGTATAAAGGCTACACTCTATGATCTATGATTCTAGGTTTGCAGTACTACATACTACAGTGTCTGCAGTACCTCTGTCCTTCTCATAATAATAATCCTCTGTCCTGGACCACATAATTTCAGATATACAACCCATCTCAAAAAAGAAAAAAAGAAAAGAAAGATATCAAGATCCTACATTCAGCCTCCATGGAGAAAAACGGCTTCTTGATGATAATGTGTTTTTCTGTAGGACTCCATCGCAGCCTGACCTCACCTCCAGAGAAAAAGAACACAGAAAAATGGAGCATATACATAACAAAGCAAACCCCGAATCTTTCCCCCTTGGTGGTTTATCCAAATTTAAATCCCCAAATAAACCCCAGCCAAAATCTAAAGTTGTAACATCCCATAATAGAACAGAAAACTACTTATTACCTACCCGCCTCCTAGAGAAAGTAGGGAAAGAGCTAAAATTATTGTCCATGTGTCTGTTGCAAGTCAACTGCATTTGGGATAACTTAATCACACATAAGTCTAAACAAAAACTTCAGCCAGCCACAGGGCTCCTAAACTGCACATTCATTTAAATTGAGTTCCAGACGAGGCCAAAATGGAGGACTTATGTCCTGGTAGTTTATCTCTCAATTTAGCTCAGAGCCCAGCTAAACATGAATGGTCAATGAATGTGAGATGGCATGAATGACCTTCTTACGATAATCTTCATCAAGTGTGTGAATAATTTGTTACTTGGGGGTGTATCAAGAAGATATGTTCGTGGATGAGACTCAAGGCATGGAGACAGAGAAGCTATTTGTGTGGGTTGGGGAGCGATTGATGTGAATGAACACACTGAAAACTTCACTGCAGGGGGCTTTTGTTATTATCACAGGCTTCCTTATTTTTCAGTAGCTCTTGAAATACAAACAAAGCAAAAGAGAAAATGACAGAGAAAGAAAAAGCTTATTAAAAGTGAAAAAGTGAGCTTGAAGACTAGGCTATAAAACGGGGGTGCCAAGAGGCACAAGTGTCCACAGCTGCTCAGAATTGCCAGGGCAGAGGCTTCAGATCAGAACTGATCCACTCTTGTTCGGTTTGATTTTTACTAAAGCTCTGGCGGCCTCTATTGGTAAAATAGAGAAATGCAGCGTCTGCCGCAAAGTGCCCTTTTAAAATGTGCTTCGCAATTAAGACTGTTAAACTTCCTAAGACTGCTGAGTACTTCTTTCCTTTCTTATTGTTTCTCTTTTTCATTAAATGTCTTTACTTCTTCCATTAAATCTGATGTTACAACACTAATTGCTGTTATTAAAGTCAGGAACCCTTTATTATCCCAGAAGTTAGGACAATTTCTGCATGCTTAGCATGCTTGGATTTCAGTTTAGTTCTTCGGTAAAGACAACACTCCAAATTCATTAGGTCCTTCTTTAAAAGTGTAGTTTACATCAGAGCAACTAGTCTGGCATTTAAATAAACGACAGCGCTGAGAAGTAACCGCCATAGTTTCAGTTTTCAAAATACACCCGATTCTAGGCAAACACCAATCCTTGGAATTCTGCCAATGTGCTAATTAAAGGGGAGAGGGAGCGTCAGTTCTAGTATTCGGAAAAGATAAATTGTCATTTGACTTAAAGAAGAAAGGGTGCCACTATTGTATAAGCCGGACGGTTTCAATGTGAAAGGAGAAAAGGCAAAAAAAAAAAAAAAAGTCATAAAAAGAATAAGAAAGGAAGGAAGCAGACTCACTCCAGCCACAAGAGAAAAGAAAAGGTTAAGACCACTCCTTCTGCAACTAGGGAGAAGAGAAGGGAAGAGAAGGGGAGTTGCCCATGGAAGCTGCCTCCTCCTGGGTGGCGCACAGAGTTCAGCACCTCGGAAAGCACTCCCTTCCTGCATGGGGGATTACGCATGCTCTTTGGGGCTCTCTGCAGAGACTCAGTGGGTGCGAATGTAACTCCTGTAACTCTGGTTAGTCACTGGGGGTTGACAATACCGGACAAACAGAAAACACCAACAGAACTCCAGGCAGCGATGGCGTGAAATAATCCGCAGTCAGAGTGAAATACGGATGTTCATTATCTCTGTTTTCCTTTAAAAGGAGAGAATCTCGTCCAGGCAACAGCAAGAGCCGACAACCGTATTGGGTAGAGAAGCGGCCGGAGAACTGTGCTCCTGGGCAGGAGGCTGTGTCTAAGTGACAACGGGGAAGCGGAGAGGTAAGACTCAGTCCTCACCAGGAGGAGCCTTGATCCCGGCCCCTTGCCTGAAACTGCCCTCTTCTGCTCTAAACTGGTTAAGAATTAACGCTGAGCTCAGCCAAATCTTGAGCCCAAGGCGGTTCTGGGCGCGGACTCGGCTCAGCATCCAGTTTCCAGGCGCAGCTTCAGGGGCTTCTTAGACAGCTCCAGAATCCGCGCCCGCTTGGGTACCACACCCGGAGCGAGCGGTGTCTCTCCGATAGTTGGCGGGCAGAACTTGACCCAGAGGCACCTGCGCATGCAGGTGGTTTCTGCAACTACCGCAGCCACCATGGGTAAGGCGGCTGCCGGTGATGAGCTCTCAGAATTCTTCAGTCTCATCCCAGACTTGCTGGAGGTTGCCAACACGAGCAGCAACGCATCGCTGCAGCTTCCGGACTTGTGGTGGGAGCTGGGGTTGGAGTTGCCAGACGGTGCAGCGCCGGGGCATCCCCCTGGAAGCGGCGGGACAGAGAGCGCAGACACTGAGGCCCGGGTACGGATCCTCATCAGCGCGGTTTACTGGGTGGTTTGTGCTCTGGGACTGGCCGGCAACCTGCTGGTGCTCTACCTGATGAAAAGCAAGCAGGCGTGGCGCAAATCTTCCATCAACCTCTTCGTCACTAACCTGGCCCTGACTGACTTTCAATTCGTGCTCACTTTGCCCTTCTGGGCGGTGGAGAACGCTCTAGACTTCAAGTGGCCCTTCGGCAAAGCCATGTGTAAGATCGTGTCCATGGTGACGTCCATGAACATGTACGCTAGCGTCTTCTTTCTCACTGCGATGAGCGTGGCGCGCTACCACTCTGTGGCCTCAGCTTTGAAGAGCCATCGGACCCGAGGGCATGGCCGTGGCGACTGCTGTGGACAGAGCTTAAGGAACAGCTGCTGTTTCTCAGCCAAGGTGCTGTGTGGGTTGATCTGGGCTTCTGCCGCGTTAGCCTCGCTGCCCAATGTCATTTTCTCTACCACCATCAGGGTGATGGGCGAGGAGCTGTGCCTCATGCACTTCCCGGACAAGCTGCTGGGCTGGGACAGGCAGTTCTGGCTGGGTTTGTACCACCTGCAGAAGGTGTTGCTGGGCTTCCTGCTGCCGCTGAGTATCATCAGTCTGTGTTACCTGTTGCTGGTGCGCTTCATCTCCGACCGCCGCGTAGTGGGGACGACCGATGGCGGGGGAGCAGCAGCGACTGGAGGAGGCCTGAGTGCAGCCAGCGCTCGGAGACGGTCCAAGGTCACCAAGTCGGTGACCATCGTAGTCCTGTCCTTCTTCCTGTGCTGGCTGCCCAACCAGGCGCTCACCACCTGGAGCATCCTCATCAAGTTCAACGCGGTGCCCTTCAGCCAGGAGTACTTTGTGTGCCAGGTGTACGCGTTCCCAGTCAGCGTGTGCCTAGCCCACTCCAATAGCTGCCTCAACCCCATCCTCTACTGCTTGGTGCGCCGCGAGTTCCGAAAGGCGCTCAAGAACCTGCTGTGGCGTATCGCGTCCCCTTCGCTCACCAGCATGCGTCCCTTCACTGCCTCCACCAAGCCAGAGCCGGAAGATCACGGGCTGCAGGCCCTGGCGCCGCTTAACGCCTCTGCAGAACCTGACCTGCTCTACTATCCACCCGGTGTGGTGGTCTACAGTGGGGGGCGCTACGACCTGCTGCCTAGCAGCTCAGCCTACTGAGACCTGCCGAGGCTCAAGAGGGCCTTCCAAGGAAGAGGAGAAGGGGAGAGCAGTTTAGGGGCTGGAGGATCGAGATAGGCAGGAAAGGCGTGCTCACGCGCGCGCGCAGGGAAGAGCAACCTGTGAAAAGCCAGAGGCCTGTCTCTGCAGAAATCAGGTTAAGGGAGGAACGACTGCAACAGGGTAGAGCCTGCAGCCTTGGCTCTTGCTCCCCACTCACCCCTTCCTGTCCTTTACTCCAAGCTCCACTCCCCACCATGCCCTCGGAACGTTCTGGAACACCCAGAAGCTGGGATTGGCACTGGGAAGCAGAGGGATTGGGTTGCATAGGAGTTGGGCTTAACCAAATGATGTCCAGACAGGGGATCATTTGGCCCAGAGACTTTTATGGAGAACTTTATGGGACCTCAAGCAAAATCCCGCAGGGAAAGTGGCCCGTAAAGCCTGTCTTAATGCGCTTTGATCTGTGGGACTGGCCCAAGCAAAGATCTGACTTGCTATGACTGTCTGGAAAAGAAAAATGAGAACTAGAACCCTGGTATCCTTTATCATCCTGGAGAGGGCTAAGGTGTACATGCTGAGCCTGATGTCCCTGCTATGCCTCTGAGAGCACAGGAATGTCTGTCTCTAGGAATGTCACCGGGAGTCTCTAGGAAGTGACATTGGGTGCAAGAAAGAGCACTGTGATTAAGAAACCTTTCTGTGATGCAGCCCCTGATTGAAAGGAGGGACTAGGTAAGTGGGCGGGAAGAGTAGTGTCTCCACTGCAAGTCTGAGTACCCAGAATCTCTTGGGGACAGTATGAGTACCTGGGGCTTTGGTCTGTTGCTGGAGGTGAGGCAGCAAGCACCCTGAAAGCTCTCCTGAGAGAGGGGGTGCCATGAGCAGCCCGCCTTATTCTTTGGGAATGGACTGACTGAGATGAGAAACTGGAGTTGCCGATAAACGGGTGGCTCAGTATGTTTGGGGCTTAGAAGAGCCGAAAGTGCTGTCCAGCTGTTTTCTAGAGGCTAGGGTTTGTTTTTCCAAGAGGGAGGGAGGATTCAAGTAAATAATCTATCCTAAAGAGAAAGAAGAGGTGGTTCTTGAGAGCATCGCAGAATTGTCTGAGTGAAGCTATGCACTGCTCCTGTAACTGACAGGAGACAGCAGGACTCAGAATTTGGATGGACTACCCTAACCAAGTTCCAGGTACCCTTGAGTGTTTTGCTCATTGCATATGCAGGACAGCTACACACTGTCTCTGAGGAGTGAGCAGACGCCTCATGCCAGCTCAGTTCTAGTCACAGTCTAAGATCTTAAGATCTTCACAGAGTCCTTTCTTGAGACTGCTCCGAGAACTGAGATATTAACCTACCCATCCCTCAGCCAGGATCAGTCGAGAGGCTGCTCTTCTCTTTGGCTTGGCCTGGGGTTTAGAGGCTGCTAAAGCAGGCACCTCCCACTGTGGTGTGGTCACTTTAACACAATGAAGAACCATTAGAATAGCATGGCTGCTTAAATGGCCTCCTGAACTGTAGGGCTATTTGGTAATTTGGTCAAAATTGCACTGTTCTATTTGGGACTTTAAAGCTTGGAATATGGGATCTACACGCCTGCCATCAAAGCAACGCAGTCTGCGCTCAGATACCTTCCCACAAAAAGAACAAAATCAAAGCAGCTCCTGAGGTTTGGTTTCAAAGCAAGCACATCAGTCCTCCTTTGCTCTTTGGCATTATTGACACTGGTATTGACTGGCAACCGGGCTAACAACAGTTGGAACGTGAGCCCCTAATGCTCTGTGCTGGGTAGTTGTATGTCAATTTGACACAAACTAAAATTGTGTGAAAGGGGGGAACTTCAACTGCCTCCGTAAGATCCAGCTGTAGGGTATATTTCTAATTAGCGATTGATGGGGGAGGGCCCAGCCCATTGTGGTTGATGACATCCCTGGGCTGGTGGTCTTGGGTTCCATAAGAGAGCAGGCTGAACAAGCCATGGGGAGCAAGCCAGTAAGCAACACCCCTCCATGGCCTCTATATCAGCTCCTGCCTCCAGGTTCCTGCCCTGCTTCAGTTCCCATTCTGGCTTCCTTCAATGATGGACTACAATGCCAAATAAACCCCCTTCTCCCCAGCTTGCTTTTTGGTCATGATGTTTTGTTGCAGCAATAGAAACCCTAACTAATACATGCTCCAATATACAAAATAAATAAAGGGGCCAACATAAGAAGAAGCAGACAATAGCATGTACATGTACAACATCAGTATTAGACTATTCCTGGGAGATTAAAGTCACTTGCTATTTCAGTTTTGACAATGACATTATTTGTGGATAGCTCAGAGTTATTAAGAAAAGTTACTGATGTGTGTGTGTTTCTGCTATGGGCATTACAGAAAGAGAAGATGAGGCCAGGACTTCATGCAGATGTCTGTAAAAGGAGCCACTCTGTCCAAATCCAAAACTGAGGGCTTCAGAGAACACCATAGGGGGGGATCAAAGACTATGGATTCTGTTGGCTCAGAGACAGAACAACAGGAGGTGGCCGGGCAGCCCCTCTGTGTGCCTGTGGTCAGGGAATAAACCAGACACAGCCCAGACTTCACAGTTAGGACAAACAGCCAGAGAGCAAAGCAAGACAATGCAGAAAACAATGATTTGGACATTCCAGTGAGGCTACAATAAAAGAAAGGGGTTCGAGAATCCAAGAAGAAAAGACAGATTTTGCTCAAAAAGTATTTGAGATGGGTCCAGGGAATATGGATGCAATGTTGACAAATGATGCTGATGGTGGATGGGGGAGGGGGAAGCAGATAGATGGAGAAGCAGGAAGCAAACAGTGTACCTCCCCTTTATCCCTCAGGAGTTCCCTGGATTTCTAGGAAAAATATTAATACTCCTACATTAATTTTACTTGTCTATGGTTCAGAGCTTTTTGCCAGAATGAATTTCATTTGCCCGAGAAAATAAAAATGTAGGTTTCCAGAGGTGATTAAAGGCTTTTAAAAAATTACATTATGTTCACTCATTCAAACTTAATGGAATTGAGTTCAATGGGTAAAGTGTGTGTGTGTGTGTGAGAGAGAGAGAGACAGACAGACAGACAGACAGACAGAGACAGAGAGAGAAACAGACAGACAGACAGACAGACAGACCAACAGACCGAGATAGATAGAGACAAGACAGGAACACACAGAGAGATTGCTCTAGGCCCTTACCCCAGCTCAGTACTCTATCAAATGTTGTAAAATCAACATTGTACATTGATATAGTAACATTTATTGCTTCTTGTGTTAACTTTTTTCATAAGCCATGATCCATTGATGTTTGGTCACTTGTAATAAAAGCCCTGTGACTGATCAGTGGTGGCTCTGCTTGACTTCTTTCAGGCCAAAGTAGGATGGCCCTCAGATGAGGGACATATCCCCAGCTGGCCCATTCATCCATTCCCACATCTTCAAAGACCAAAAAAGGTCCTTAAATTATGCTTAAGAATGACATGGAATTCTCCAGGTATAGAGACGAGCATAAGTATGAAGAGCAAGAGAGGTGACTTGACCTGCTCCTTTTTGTCATGCTGGGAACTGACACAGGACCTCTTAGAAGCTGCTCATCACTGTCTCATGCTGCAGAGTTCAGAGCAGGTGCTTTCCAGGGTCACATTTCTAGTCTGTCAAATAATCAGTTCTCCAACATAGGTCATGGTGGTTGGGATAAAGTCAAGAACAGTTGGGATGACTTTATGTATGCTCCCTAAGAAGACGATTTCATCTGTGAATTAATGTAACAATAGAATGTAGGGAGCCCTGATTGAGGGGCAGCAGATGAATAGCACCCATGTGGGGAAAAGGAGAGCAAGGTAGCATGTAGATTGATAAATGAAACAATAATACACTCAGGTAGTCTGGGAACAAAGCCCAAATCTGGAAAAACCAAGGATCCAAAGAGTCCTTTCTGCACGGGTCAGGCACATTTGGAGTTGTACAGATGATTCTTAACAAAGGCTGCAGGAAACCTAAGGGGAAGGGCTGGTGGTGAGGCTTTGCCAGCAATGACCACGGCGTTCATTAAGCACGGATCCCATGCCAGCCACCTGTCTGTGCTTGCTCTCAACAGGAAGCAGTAGAGACAAAGCCCTGGATTCAAAGTCCAGCTCTGCCATTATGAAATGTGTGGCTTCAGATGAGCTCCCTAATGGCCTTTGGCCTCAGTTCCCTCATCTAAATGTGAAGACCAGCCATAGCACCCATTGTCAATGGCTGTATCAACAAAGTCTAAACGTTTGCAATGATGGGAAGGAAGCCCTCCACAAGTGTTATGTACCCACTGTCACAATGCTCTGAGAATGGAATTCATTACACCGAATGCATACATGAGCATATGTTGTTAAGTATGTTGCCACTGAGTACCAAAGAAAGGATCAAAACTAGCCAGGCTCTAAAGTTCATGATTAGTTTTCCTATCAAATAATGTGGTCTCTCAGCATGGTATCGATGCAGTCTCTTCGGGCTGCTAAAAATTCCCCACATGGGAGCCCACTGAGGGGTTTGGCTAGAGAAAAAGTGTTTAGTTGGGGGTGGGACGGAATATCATAGGAGGAACCCAGGAATTGCTTCTTGAAAGTGTCGATTCCAGAGGATAAAATGAAGGTACAGACTCAAGAAAAATATTTTTACCACATCAATGAATTAAACGAACACTCTTAAGTTGCACAGCTCTCAGAATGAGAATGAGACATTCAAAGCAGATTCGTTAAGAATGCCATACATTAACAGGAATTAATTATGAGCAAATTACATTTGAATAAATCAACACCATAAAATGATCAGCAATATTTTAAGTATTTTTGAATTTGATGAAATATGTGATTTCCCAATGATAGATGGACTGCTTTCTTAAAAAATTACATTATCAGCATCACAAGTAGGCTCGATTTGCTCCTCAGATGTTATCAAGCCCTGAAATGCCTCTGGAGAAGGAGAAGCTGACCTTCCTCTGCCTGCACCGAGGGGCAGATGCTAAGGGAGATACAGAGGGGCTGGCAATGCTACCACACTCCCCTTCTCCCACGTGTGCATGCACGGTGAGATTACAAAGTGGGGGACATACAGTTCCCCAAGCCAGAGAGCCTGAGCAAAGACTGGTTTCTTGCCATGGTCTCATTCGTCTGAGGTTTGGGGGTCCGTGTCTCTTTATAAACCTAATCGACATATCGAACGAAGAGGGCCACAAAGCAGCAGCCTATCAGTGCCACGGCAGAGGCTGTCATCACCACCACGATGACACTCCCAGCCATGTTGACCAGGAAGCCCAGGCCCCCACCAACCAGGATCTGAGCTAGCTGCACCATGCAGGTGAGGGCAGCACAGTCCACGCCTTTGCCTCTCCCGCTGCTCTCAGGAGCTCCGGGGGCTTCCTGCCGCTTCTGCAAGAGAAACACAGGAAGAGCAATTGATCTACCAAGGCACTGCCACACAGGGTCAGGGGTCAGCTCTTTTCTGAGAAGAGCCCTTTGGGCTTTGTGGGATCTTGGTTGTCACTGACTCTGATCTCACAAATCAAGAAAGATTTCACGTAAGAACAAATTGCACTCCAATACAACCTTATTAGATTCCGCGCCAATTTTATGCATCACAAAACAGCATCCTTCTTTGAATTTATTTCAATCTTTTAAAAACTTAAAAGGGATTCTTATCTTATAAACTGTCTGAAAACAAACAGCAGGCTGCCTTGGACCAGCAAGCCACAGTTTGCTAATTCCTAATTGAGGGACTCCAGGGAACTCCATTGATGCTGTCGTCCTTACATGCCAGGAAGCCTTTTCCTCCAACTTTAATAAGCACATGGCTTAAACATTAATATGGTCAGGACTCTCTTTGTAAGAAGTAAATAAATACAATGTTGCAGCAACTCAACAAGGCATCAATTCCAATCTTTTTGTCTTCCTTGGTGTTAAAAAGGCAAGCCGTTTCAAAAGAATGCTAAATTACTTTTAAACATAGGAAGAGCAAGTTTCAACCCCCCTCACAGCAAGGTTATTTGGTTAATACGTTAACATCTGGTAGATATTTGATATTTGGCCCCAATTGGTTCAAATTACCATTTGGTGTCTCTTACATGCAAGGCCTTGTGCAAGGCTGTTTTGCAGTTAGGACCTTATTTTGTTATCAGCACACTAGGTGCAGATGTTCTTATCATCTCTAGCACACTAGGTGCAGGTGTTGCTGTCATTATCTCTAGCTGTCATTTTTGGAGTCCTGTGAGGTATTAAGCAGGTACTATGCTGAGCACAGTATCTATATGTTCATGTTTACTTTCCCATCTGCTTTATGTGGTGAATGTTATTAATCTCTCTTGACTGATAAAGATATCTGGTGTCTGAATGATCATTCCCTCTACTCAAGTAAAATAAGCCTTGGTAGAGAAAAATGAATATTATCTTTTCAAGAAAAATGGGGAAATGGGAAAACATATTCATGTTTGCTTGACTTTCATTTAAAAGTATTGTAAAGATAAACTTTAAGAACTTGAGCAAGAGTGGTAATGTAGCATGTGTGGGCTGGTGGTACAGACAAAAAATTATTATTATTTTTTTTTTGAGGGAGAGACTTCACAAGTACACTTTTATATAATGTGATTATTGGACCTTGTGAGACTACAACCTCTTGTAAAAGTGAGCTCATTTTAAGTGCTACTTAAGCCAGGCGGTGGTGGCTCACGCCTTTAATCCCAGCACTCGGGAGGCAGAGGCAGGTGGATCTCTGTGAGTTCCGAGGCCAGCCTGGTCTACAGAACAAGATCCAGGAAAGGCACAAAGCTACACAGAGAAACCCTGTCTCAAATAAATAAATAAATAAATAAATAAACAAATTAATTAATTAAGTGCTACTTAATGACTAAGTGAAAAATATGGTCCGTGTCACACAGCTTCAAAGGGGACAAAGTTTCAATCTAGTTTTCTGTGACTCCAAAGCATGTTTGCTATTTTTTTCTTTGCCTTGAGTTAGATACAAAGAAAACTCCATTTCCCCCCAAATTCTGGTGGTTAGACAAAAGCCAGCATTCCTCAGTAACTTGTGAACCTGAATCCCCTCTACCAAAAGGAGTCATTTCCCTTATCACTGGCAGAATGGAAGAATGGATCTTTTTAGTGGCTATTGGCATACCAAAATGCAAGCTGGCCTCCAGGCTCCCTCAGTATCACAGGTATATGTGACACATTTCAGAGTTCATGCTAACATGCTAGCTCTTCTCACCTCTCCCCTACCCTAAACTCCTCCAGCTCATGGACTTCCCTGCTGCCAGCTATTCATTCTCCTTATAACCCTGCTATTTCAGCTATGCTGTCTCTTCCGGTTGCTCTCTCTCTCTCTCTCTCTCTCTCTCTCTCTCTCTCTTTCTCTCTCTCTCTCTCTCTCTTTCTGACTCTCTGTATCCCACCTCCCCCTCCCCCTTTCTTTCCTCTCCCACACTCTTCCTCTCTCTCTCCCTTTCCACTCTGCTCTTGCTTCTCTCATGGCCATGTCCAATCTGCAGGCCATGCTCCATTTCCTAATTTCTCTCTCTGCTCTGGACTCTTCCAGATGCCTCTGACTGCTCCCTCATGTCTACAGTAAAAACCTTCCCCTTAACCCTATCGTGGAACGGTCATGTTGTCAGTTTATACATTTGGGTGCCAGTAACTTTTTCCAAACGGGGAGGCTTTTCTGGTGACTGTCTTTTAAACAGCGGCCCTTTCCCCACAATGCACTGCAGCTTTTACTAGGGGATAAGGACAGTGGCCATGCTTGCTCGGAAAGTCTTAACTCCTGGTGCAGCTCTGCCTGGCTGCATGCACCAAATCAAATGATGTAAATGAATGCTGAAATGATTGAAATGATGTCATACTGATGTGTACTCAGTGTCACACTGACTCTTGGTGTTTTTATGGTTTCAGGGTGAGATGAACTCATGGTTCTCACTTTAGATTTTTCATCATTGCTCCATTTAAGGCAGCAAAAGTCAGTTTGCATAGAGAAACCGTGGTATGCTTTTATTAGAAGAGACAGCAATTCTAGAGCAGAACTACCCAGACTTCTCATTGTCAGGTCCAAAGGAAACTCTAATTTCCCAAGTACATACGTCCAGAAATGGCAGTCTAGACCCAACTCAAGCTGGACAATAATAGAAGGATTTCTGGTTGGATAAAAGCCAGCAACTCTCAGGAACTTGTGAAATGAGTTCCCACTCTGCCAAAAGGAATCATTTCCCTTGTCTCTGGCAGAAGGGACATATGGCTCTCCATTGACATATACCTGTGGTTACATACCTAAGCCCATGCCAGCCCCTGGGCTCCTACAGTCGTTATTCTTAAGTACCCCTTATACATTTCAAAGCCCCCAATCCTGGCCCTACACACACACACACACACACACACACACACACACACACACACACACCTGCCTCTATCCCAATCCCCTAGGCCTGCCCAGCTCACAGGCTTCCCTCCTTCCAGCTGTCCTTCCACTCTCCCCATTTTCACTCTGCTATTCTCTGCCTTTCTCCTACTCTCTGGTCTAAACTCTTTCAAATGCCTCTGGATATTTCCTCTTTCTGATCCACAATAAGAAACCCCTTAATGATGGAGCAGCCATTTCTTTACTACACTCCTTGAATACAATCAGGAGGACTGTTTAAGGTCCTACGTTATAGTCTGAATTCCAAGCCATCGGTGGACAGCACCTCTCCAGGAAGTATGGTAAGAATCAAGTCACAGCTCCAGCCCACAACCCCAAGACATGCCAATGTGCTCCTCTGCAGTGCTTGGAACAGGGGAGGCATCATTATGAGTATCTAGAAATGCTGATGTGAACCGGGAAGGCCTGTAGGGTGGTTGCAGAAGGGTTTGGTTCCATTTCTTTGCCTCGGTCCGATTGTGGACTGGTTTCTCAGCATCACTAAGACTACCTTCTTTAATCAGATAATTGGGAGTCACTATCATTGTCCTAAAACTCAAAAGGTGCACCAGGGTTCACAGCAAGGAGGAGGAGGGAAGAACTCTCCTAGGCTGGTAGTCATATCTGCATGGTGATAATTGTTTACAAACTCTTCTGCCAAATTCCTCCCTTCCCCAACCCTTAGGGTAAATTTCCTTAGTTACCCACCTCCTTCTCCTCCTCACGGTGGTACTCAGCAATGAGGTTAAAGGGCACAGTGTACAATGTGCTGGACATCACACCAAACATAGAACAGAGGACCAGGGTAGAGTAGACATTTGGGAAGAGTCCTATGAATCCTGTTCCCAGGCCAAAGAGCAAATATCCCATGAAATAAAGGCCCTTTAATCCAATGTAGGAAACCAACGCTTTCTGAAAGTCTGTAGAGAGAATAAAGGGGGAAAAATTACAGCTGGCAGGTGCCTCACAATACCTAATAATTTCAGATAATCCTTTCTTTTGAAGATGCACTTTTTAGATGACTTCCTTTGATACTGAGTCAGAAACAAAACACTTCCTTATCTGTGTTCAAGAAACAGCTGGATGTGGGGATCAGTTTTAAATCCTTTGCATAAAAGACAGCATAAAATTGCCTTGCTGATTTTATTGTCCATGGAGGAAAACCAGGTACTTTTAGCAGCCAGCCAAATATCAAAAGAATGTAAAAAGAAGAAACAAAAACCAAACTTTGGTGATGGGACTCAGAGGATGAAAGATACAGAGAAATAGTCTTGTTCATTCTGATGAGAGAAGTCTGGCCCAAGAGGACCCAATGGACAGTGTATGCTTACCCTGACTGCACCACCCAAAGTCAGGTTGCAGATATTAAAACAACCAGGTTTTGCAGAATGAGCCAAATCATTCTTAGTTTCTTAGCCCCAATCTGAAGGTATTCTGTACAGGTAAGAAAGATGTGAGGTTCTCTGCAGACATTTTCCCTGTCTTGTCAATCATACAAAGGCTGTGAAGGGATTCCTAGTTTTCCATGGCTGGCTCCTTGACAGAGACAAGTCACTTCATTGCTCACCATCTCAGCTTTCTCATCAAAAAAAAAAAAAAAGGAAGGAAGTAAAATGCAGTTCTTTGTAGTGGAGGTTGTTAGTCAGAATCAAATGAGGTGAAATCTATAAAATATCACCCAGGCCACTAAAGGACACATAAAAGATATCTAGTTAATGTGGCTATTGGCATTTTACCAACTGCATGGTGGGCTGAAGATAGCTGACCATGCACTTGGTTCCTCTCTTAGCATACACTCTGCACATACAAATAAATATAACAACTATAGAGGCAGAGTTATTACTCCTCTACTTTAATCTATTAGACCACTCTTGCGGGTCATAAGAATATATTATAGAGATTCATCTGTGTGTTAAAGCTATACTTTGACCAACCAAGTGATCATCAAATGGGAAGCCATTTATCATGGAATATTTGGTGTTATACAGGTTTAATATTGAGCTGTGCCTTGCTATGAATTTCTTGTGGGCCCATATACTACTAGACCATTTGGCAAACAGTTCAGCTTCTCAGACCTGCTGAACCTCTAGGTAACTAACTCCCTGCCTAAGCCTAGGAGACAAGTAGGCTGCAGATGCATAGCTTTGTTTCTTGTGCAAATGAAGCTCAGGCCATCCCTTTCCTTCAGGCTGGGGATGGCAGAGAGATTGAGAGCAAAGGAGGTTTTTGCATAAGCAGGTACAGCAAAGACTGGAGCAGAATTCCAGAGGCAGACACAGAACTGCATGGCCAGAGAAAAGAGAGGAAGACAGAGATTCTGTAGAGGGTAAGGCAGATCTCTTGTAGAGTTTATCAAGGCCAGGGATAAGGAGCTAGGAAGGATAGATGGAGGACGAAGTAACAGAAGACGAAGATGAGACCAAAAGCATAAGGACTTAGTTATTACCAGGGCTGTGAGGAGACAAAAGAAAAAAAAAAGTAGTTACAAAGAGGAACTGAGACTCAGAACGGAACTGAAGCTGTGTAGATAGAGTTTTGTCATAAAGGAATAAAGTAAACAGACAAAAGAGTGCAGTGTATGTAGATTCCTTTCCCTCAGATACCCCACGCCTGACGTAGCATCTTCCCCAGGATTCTGGGAGGAATTTTCTCAGGGCTGAAACTTGGGAAAATTCTGTAAGACCACATCAGCTAGATGCTTGAAATGTGCCTATTAAGAATGAAATGTTGACTAGCTGCTGGAATTATTATTGGACTTATACTTCACGGACAAGAAACAAAATCAGTATTATATTTGAATCAATTACAAAACAAAACACTGTCTCGGGTCACTGGAGGGAAGACAGGCTGTAGAAATGACAAGCAGACAACATTACTTCCTCTATCAAATGTATTCCATGTCTGGAGTGCTGTTGCTAAGGCTTGAGAATGGAAGCAGCACAAAGCTAGGTCAATTTCACAATAATCCTTGACAAGCCTGTTTGGATTATTATGAATGATTTATATTCATGTAGAAAATTTAGTCTAAGGTGTCTCAGTGCTCAAAAGATATCATCAATGCATAGGTCTTTTCTATCTGTGTCAGCAAGCCAAAGAGAAGCAAAGAAAGATACAGAGATATTTGAACACATCTGTAACAATAGTATAAAAGATGAAAGTCTGGTTTAAAGTGTTTTATTCATGAAGAGAAGCCAATACATCTCAGGGACAAAATTTCCTTGCCTCTGCTGCCCGTGGTACCCACAGTTGGCCACATCCTCAACAGTACTGTCTTTACAGTAGGAAGAAATTATTGAATTGAATATTAGGCATGAATACTAGTATAAGGTAGGAAGATCAGCTATATCTCAGTGCTCAGTTATTGTAGTAACTGCTAGAAGGCTGTTTCTTGGCTGTGAAGATGGAGATGAAAACAAGTTTGGTTCTCTATCACCATTCTCCACCCAGGCATGCAGGTTGCCCTGTGGAGCTCTATGTAGCTGGAGATGCTGAATCTTCACCTGACGCTATGTGATGAATTGAGAACAGGGAGCAACAATAGACTCTGAGGTGAAGAAAATGATAGCTTCTGCCAAGGGTGGGTTGAGAAGCAGGAGGAAAACTTGAATAATATCACAAGGGAAGTACAATTTAAGGTAGCTAGAGGAGGAATTTAGGCATCATCTACAAGTTCTCTGAATCATCTATGAAATCTATAAATTGCTTTGAAATCACTAGCGGTCTTGCTCCAACAGAGCATGGAGCTGCTGGAATTCATGTCTCATCTGTCCAATATCTCACCGTCTTACTCACAAAATTCCCGTTTATTTTCTAAAAAAATATTTCCCAGAAAACCAATGATTACAAGTACAGTTCAAGGGAAATGAAAAACTGACCATGAAAAAATGACACTTTCAGCCGGGCGGTGGTGGCGCACGCCTTTAATCCCAGCACTCGGGAGGCAGAGCCAGGCGGATCTCTGTGAGTTCGAGGCCAGCCTGGGCTACCAAGTGAGTCCCAGGAAAGGCGCAAAGCTACACAGAGAAACCCTGTCTCGAAAAAACCAAAAGAAAAAAAAAATGACACTTTCATATGATCATTTCTGAAAGAATAGTTTATCCTGATTTCCTAAACATTATCAAGACTCAAATATCTTAAAGAGAAGCAAATAGACTTTGAAGTATAAGATCTGGGTCCCCCTGCCAGCCTTTTGAAGACTCTCTTAGGAAAAGAATACTTACAGGAATAAAGTGAAGAAAACAGAGAGTTGATACATAAGCCCCAACATCCAACCTCAACTCCTCTTTCATAGATAAGAAACTCCGTGGAATTGTGTGCACCATAGGGATCCCCGTGGTAGACAATCTGAAAGAGAGGTTCCAGTGGTTGAATAACTAGTGCAGTGTGGTAGGCAGCTCTTCTCATACTTCTCAACCCCTGGGGGAAGGGGCCCTTCCTGGTGCATAGAATTCAATCAGACATCACCAGGTCACTCCATTCATCAATTATGCCTCCTTCAAGGACCTTTATGAAGTATATCTATCTGTGCATTAAATATAAATAACACTTCTCTGGGATGATCTTTAATGGTCCTTCCTCTCATCCTAATACCTAGCCCCATCTGACTTAGTACCATTCTCTAGTACAGCTAACAGACTTCCAACTCACCTCTGTCCATACCATTCCTATTCCCACTTAGAATTCTTTCTTTCCCTGTTTTATCTCTGAAACCCTGAGTCACCCTTCAAGGCCAGGATCATGCCACATCCCTCTTTTATGAAGCTTCACTTGAGCTCTGAAAATCCTATCTACACTTGTCTAGTTGTTGTATTTGATCACATAGTGGTAGATCTTAGAGTATTTAGTTTTACAGGATGTAGCAGCCTACTTCTAGAACATATCTATAAACCAGTTCCCTGAAGGTATTCTTTGTTATACCTATTCCAAAGGCCAGCAGACGAAGCTCCCAATGAGTGTGTGAGCACAATGCATTCATTCATTACCTGCCCCATGAAATCTGTGAAGAAGAGCATGTTTGACAGGAAGGCAGTCCATCCAATGAGGTGGCTGATGCAAAGGCAGCGATAATGGAGAGGCATGTTCACTAAGGCCCTTAGAAGTGACCTCATCGACATTGCCCTCTGACTCTGGAAAAAAAAGCATGGATCTTCAGTGTAGGTGCCCAGCCAGCGGCAGGAGTCAAAGCAACAGCCATGCTACATCTCTGTCACTTGTCTATCACATGACATCACATGTAGGCTTCCAACAGGACAAACTTATTGATAATGTGCTGTTAAAAATGAGTGACTACTTAGCAGTTCCAGGCCCATAAATAACTTTCATAACCTAAGAGTAGAGAGTTTTGGAATGGAACTATACTCAGTTCAAGATGTAAGAGACAACTAACGCTGTCTTTAAATGGTATTCTGCAGGAAGACAAAGCCCATGAGTGTAAACAATCCCTTGGGTAATTATTGTTCTTAGAGCATGGTAGGCTAATTCAAGATGGAGTTCATGATCTTTTGTCTTGATGGTACACACGATTATGTTTTGTTACATGTAAAAATGGATCTAGAAAATACAATTATAGTTACTAGCTAGTGGACCTTGAGGGAATTAACAGAATAGTTGCCTGGTTAATACTAGTTGAGTCACACAAGCCCTTAGGAAGAAGAGGTTTTTTGTTTTGTTTTGTTTTTTCCAGCTGGGAACAGAAGCAGAATTCAGAGCAACTTGAAGCATTAGGGTGGAAAACAGAAAGAGCCACATGGAAAGGAGCTGGAAGTAGTCCTTCAAGGTTAGGGCAGCTCCTGGCCAATAATCCACAAGAAAACAGGGACCTTACTCTTACACCTCAAGGAAGTGGATTCTGCCAATGACCTGAACGAGCTTGAAGATAGTTTTTATCCAGTTGAACCTCCAGATGAGAACACAGCACTATTGAGGTTATGATTGCAGGGATGTAGGACCCTGAGCAGAGAACCCACAGGAGCCCCCCAACACTTCTGACCTTCTAAACTGTGAGATGATTGATGACTGTTGTTTTAAGCTGCTACATCTGTAGTGGTGTTTTAGGAAACTAACACAGAGAGCTGATCAGCTCCCTGCCCTTGACTAGATAGGTTCCTGCTCTCAGGTCACTGCTCTGACTCTTGCCAATGATGGGTGAGCTTTGTGTTGAGTTAAAATGTGAACAGTGTAAACACACACACACACACACACACACACACACACACACACACACACACACACATAGAAGATGAATACTCATGCCCCAGATTCCTTACTTTAGATTTATGCTTTAACAGTAGGGGCTATAATTTATTATTATTATTATTATTGTTACTGTTATTTAGTTTCAGTAAGCTTGAGGGAGCTAAAATTGACACAACTGAGTAGAGTTATCAGACGGTCTCCTGAGATTGTCTATTTTCATTATAGTAATGTATTGTTTTATAACTCCTTTTATCATCTATTGCCATATAGTACTTTATTATGGAATATGCTTCTTTATATAATTGTAAGTGTGAGGAAAGAATAAACTTATGATGAGATAGCCCCTCACTCTGTTATATTAAATGTTACATCCATGGTATTTTTACTGCATGTTATTTTCTGCATGTGAGACTTCTTTCTTGTCTTTGCTCTGTTTTATAATCCTTTTTTTAAAAAAGTTACTTTTTATTTTATGTGTATTGGTGTTCTGCCTGCATGTATGTCTACGTGAGGGTGTGTCAAATTCCCTAGAACTGGAGTTACAGTTGTGAGCTGCTACATGGGTGCTGGGAATTGAACCTGGGTCCTCTGGAAGAGTAGGCAGTGCTGAGTCATCTCTCCAGCCCCCTGTTTTTATAGCTCTTAAACTTAGCTGATACTTTTTAAAAAATTCTTTATTGAAGATATTAGATTTAATAATTTCAGGCTCATCATATAGTTGATACTTTCAATTTTCATCATTCTTGTTTCCGTTTTGTGTTTTGAGACAGGATCTCATGTAGCTCGGGATGGCCTTGAATTTGCCGCCTCCCTGGGGGTGAGAGAATAACCTTGAACCCCTGGTCAGCTTAACTTCACCTCCTAAATTCTGGGATTACAGACATGCACCATAACACCCAGCTAATTCAATTCATCTTGCAGTATTTAACCCACTGACAGTGTCTATACTAATCTTATACTTAATTAGTAACAAAAAAAGCACTCTCTTATATTTAGGAAAAATAACAGTACTCTGTAATACTTAATTAGTATCAAAATAAGCACTCTCTTGTATTTGGGAAAAATAACAGTATTCTGTATGCAGAATGTAATACCTAAAATAGGTTACTTTAACAACTGTGTAGAATGACTTGTTTTTATTCATAGGGAGGGTAGATGTTGTCTAGGGAATGGTTGCTGATTTTCATGCTTTAAACTAAGCACTTTCTCTTCATTTTGTCTCTCCTTTCCCCAAAAACACACAACTGGGAAAATCACTCTGGCAAGCATGCATTCTGCCTCACTCCAAATATTAATGTATCTTTCTGCCTTCCACATAATTTTCAGCCTGCTCCATTGTTAACCTAATTTCTCCTTTCTTCCAAAAATAAATGTGAACCTTCAAATGGAGCTTAGCATTTCCGTAAAAGCTGGAAATATAAATATTCAGTATTTTAACACAGAATGAAAAAGCTAGCTGGCATCTTACCCCTGACTCATCGATTCCCCGAGAAAAGCCCTTTCAATGGCTCTGGACCCCCGGAGTCATTGCACAGACTCTATACCATCACCAGCCAGTGAATGGAAAGTGACAGATTAGCAAGTGAACAAGATTCAGAGTCTTCAGGAGGAAGACACACAAAAACAGTCTCTGAGGGGGAAAACGAAAATGTTGGGAAGACCAACTATTTTGGCACACAGGAATGGGAGACTGATTTTTGATGGGATGTTACTGCTGATGTACATTTATAAAGTTTATCTTTTGGCAAATTGATCTGTTTATCACCAATGCCCATCAACATCTTTTTAAATTTATTTTGTGGAGCTGGGGACCAACTCCAGAGCCCTGCAAAACTATATACATGCTCTACCAGTAAGTCCCACCCTTGGCTCTCATTTTATGGATTTGACTGAAAGTCTGTTATCTAAGAGTGGCCAATGTGGAATTTTTACCACTTTCCTTCCTCCATACACACTGAGGGGATTTTTGGTTTTTTAATTTTGTTTTAACTCTATGGCTTTGCTGTTCCTCCTTTCTCTACCAGGAGCATTCTTCCCAAATCTCCACTTCAAATCCTGACCATCATTCAAAGCAAGCACCACTCTAGGAAGATTTTATTTTTTTCACCCATGAAGCCTTGCTCTGTTCACTGAAGAACAGTCTCTGCCTTTTGGGAAATCAATTGGACTTGCTATGAGAGTCATGGCCATCCTAGCCATGTGCCATTTGGATCCCGGGCTGCTGAACACATGGATGAGTGACAGTCTAAGTGCTGTCTCTCTGTAGATTTACCACCCATTCTTGACAACGGCTAAGCAAGATGTGAGATTCTAGTGCCAGCCTCTTCCCCTAAGACTTGGGACTTACCTGGGGCCGGTTTGGCTGAAAAACAAAAACAAAAACCTAAGAACTGCAGCACCTGTGAGAAGCATCCTGATCTGCCCACATCTCTTCCCTGTCACAGGTGTTTGGCTTTTATCTTGATAGGAAGATGGCACTTCCCACTTCTTCTTCTTCTTCCCTTTGTCTTTCATGTGACATTACCCCTGAGAATCTCTTGAATATGTAATTCTGCCCAAACACCTGCTATTTAGAAAATCTGAATGGATACATTGCTTTTATAGCATCTTCCACTTGGTGCCATATTGTGATGGTATAAATGGCTCGTGCTCATTTGTAATTTCCCAGGCACAGGGACTGGTTTATAAATTCCTTAGCACAGGGTCTGGACATTAGTCAATGGAATAGTCTCTGAATACAGTGCTGTGCACATACTCAGTATCCAAAGCAATTTGTTAAATGAATAATAATTATAAACAATATGCTTATATCCTTAATGTCAAGTCTAATAAACACCTTTCTATCTGGCAAATAGGCTAAGCCAACAGGAGATCTGATCTCAAGGAGAGCTGTGACTCATTGGGCTGTTTTTATGTCTTTGATTGTGCTTAGAGCACTCAGCATTCTCACAGATTCATTAGAACAATGCCTAAAGGTACCACCTTACTATCTAGTGGGAACCATCCTGAGTGACTTACACAGAATTACCCCATGTGAACTGCACAATACCCTTGCTGGTAGATACATTTACTTTTCCATTTTACAGAAATGGAAATGTCCAAGGTCATACATCTAAAAAGGCAGTAGTGCCAGAAGCTGACACATGCTCTAAATCTTTAGGCCATTCTCAAGCCACCCTGTCAGTTATTTGTCAATGAATAATGCAGGTCAGCCAGGTCCAAGATTTCAATGTCTGTGCTAATGAGTGGAGCCATTGTACTATAGCCCCAAGAAATGGATATCTAAGGGCAGCTGATGGAATAATGCTGTTATTGCATCAATGTTGTCCAACTTGTCTTTTTTAACAATGGAGAAGTTCTACACTTGCTATGCCTTGCACAGCAGTACTGGTCCCATGTGGCTTTGAGCTTTCAAAATATGGCTAATGCAACTAATGAAATGAAGACTTGATTCCATTTCATTTTAATTAATTGTCATTTAAGTAGTTGGATGGAGTTAGTGGCTTCTATATTGGTCAACACGATTCTAATCTCTTCTCTGATCTGACCATTTCTTCTGAATCTTGATCCATTTCTCTGCTATGCAGTTGAGGATTTTTTTTTTTTTTTTTTGCTATTGGTGTTGGTTTTGTTGTTGTTGTTGTTTAAGTTGAAACTAATGAACATTTTGCCCAACCAAGTCATGTTATGCAAGTTTTGTTTGTCTAATCTAGTCATCAACTCAACAACATTGTCCTTTGGAGGAACAAAGCTATAGATTGTAACTTTTATATAAGAGACTGTTATCTGTGGCCAGGGTGTGGCTGGAGAGCTCACATACGTTCTAACCTCTTATAGTTGGCATCACCTTCCCTGGTTTGATGCTTTGAAAGGAGTAAGAAAGGAGTAAGAGGCAAGAGAACCACTGGGGTACAAAATTCTCATTCCAAAGGCTCATGGCTCATTGAGGTTTTGAAGATTCAAATAGACTTCACAAAACTCTTGACATCAGACAAGCAAAGCGAACAATCTTTCACGAAGAAGAAAGTGAAGAACATTTTCCCCCATGCTGAGAAAAAGAAAACAGACTTTGCATCTTTACCTGTTCCGAGCCTTTTTTGGTTTTCCCTCCCTGCATTACCAACTCTGGGTCTGCACCATCGTGTTTAACTTTCTCAATAGAGCCGTATTCGTGCATGCCATCTGCCAACGATGACGAGCCCTGAGAGACCTGCTCTGAGGGAGGGTCTTGTGCACTGTCTCTGAGTGGGGCTTCGGGGATACTGCACAGATGGATGACAAAGCACAAAGTGAGCACCAGGGCCGAGAAGAAGAACATGACCTGGAACTCGGTGCCCAGCAGCCTTCCCACTTCCAGATGCACCCAGTCTATGGCACCCAAAAGGTAGCCGAGGGCACCGCCAAAACCTAGAAAACAAAGGGGAAAGAGAGAGAGATGAGTTGGCACGGTCTGGTGATTGTGTTTGTTGCCCACCATGCACAGGCCCTCATCTTTTGTGGAAAAACTCCCCGGGGAGACCAGAAACAGCCTGGCAATTATGAAGAGACAATACAGCAAGACGCTAAGATCACTGTGGGGAGGCAGTGTGGGTTCAAGTCCCAGCTCTTCTATTTCCTTGCTGTTACCCTTGTTCTGCTCACCTATTATGCAGTAATAACTGAAGAGTAACCTACCAGTAAGGTCACCAGACACACAGAGGGTACTTAATAAATTACCACCATAGGAGCTACTGTGGCCTTCGCAAACTGTATTCTCTATACTACTTTAAAAAAATAATAATAACAACTCTTCTACAGATTCAAAGCAGTCCTCATCAAAGTCCCAACACAATTCTTCACAGACTTCGAAAGACCAATACTCAGGTTCATATGGGAAAACAGAAAACCTAGGATATCTAAAACAATCCTTTACAATAAAGCAACTTCTGAAGGCATCACCATCCCTGAGTTCAAGCTCTACTATAGAGCTACAGTAATAAAAACAGTTTGGTATTGGCATAAAAACTGACATATGGATCAATGGAATCAAACTGAAGATCCTGACATTAATCCACACACCAATGAATACCTGATTTTTGACAAAGAAGCCAAAGCTGTACAATGGAGAAAAGAAAACATTTTCAACAAACGGTGATGGCATAACTGGATGTCAACATGCAGAATATTGCAAATAGATCCTTATCTATCACCATGCACAAAACTCAAATCCAAGTGGATCAAAGACATCAACATAAATCCAGTTACACTGAACTTGATAGAGGAGAAAGTAGGAAGTAGCCTTGAATGCATTGGCACAGGAGACCACTTCCTAAATATAACACCAGTAGCACAGACACTGAGAGCAACAATTAATAAATGGGACCTCCTGAAACTGAGAAGCTTCTGTGAGGCAAAGGACACAGTAAAGAAGACAAAATGAGAGCCCACAGAATGGGAAAAGATTTACATCAACACCACATCTGACAGAGGGCTGATCTCCAAAGTATATAAAGAAACTAGACATCAAAATACCAAACAAACCAATTTTAAAAATGGGCTACAGGGCTAAACAAAGAATTCTCAACAGAAGAATCTCAACTGGCCGAAAGACATTTAAGGAATTGCTCAACATCCTTAGTCATACGAAAATGTAAATCAAAACAACTCTGAGATACCATCTTACACCTGTCAGAATGGCTAAGATCAAAAACACTGATGTTGGAGAGGATGTTGAACAAGAGGAACACTCTTCCACTGTTGGTAGGACTACAAATTTGTACAGCCACTTTGGAAATCAGTACAGTGGTTTCTCAGAAAATTGGGAATCAATCTACCTCAAGACCCAATGATACCACTCTTGGGCATATACCCAAGGAATGCTCAGTCATACCACAAGGACACCTGTTCAACTATGTTCATAGCAGCATTATTTGTATTAGCCAGAACCTGGAAAAAAACCTAGATGCCCTTCAACTGAAGAATGGATAAAGAAAATGTGGTACATTTACACAATGGAGTATTACTCAGCAGAAAAAAATATAACATCATGAAATTTGCAGACAAATGGATGGAACTAGAAATATCATCCTAAGTGAGGGAACCCAGACTCAGAAGGACCAACATGATATGTACTCACTCATAAGTAGATACTAGAGGTAAAGCAAAGAATAATCAGACTACAACCCACAGCTCCAGAAAAGCTAGGAAACAAGGAAGACCCTAAGAGGGATGTACAGATCACCTTGGGATGCGGAAGCAGAGGAGATCTCCATGAGTAAACTGGGGATGGGGGGGGGGGAAATAGATGTGGTATGAGAACATGACGGAACGGAATGGTCAAACTGGGGGAGGGACGGAATGGGAGAGCAATGAAAGAGATATCTTGATAGAGGGGGACATTATGGTGTAAGGAGAAACCTGGATGGTAGGGAAATTCCCAGGAACACACAAAGGCAACCCCAGATTAGACTAACAGCAATAGTGGTGAGGGTGCATGAACTGTCCTATCCTGGTAATCAAATTGGTGAATACTCTGTCATCATAGAACCTTCATCTAGTAATTGATAGAAGCAGATACAGAGATCCTCAGCCAAGCACCAGGCCCAGCTCCGAGAGTCTAGTTGAAGACAGGGAAGAGAAGAGGAATTAAATGAGCAAGGGGGAGGGGGGTCAAGATCATGATGGAGAAATCTACAGACACAATGGAACCAAGCTCATAGGAACTCACAAACTTTAGACTGACAACTGTGGAACCTGCATGGGACTGGACTAGACTCTCTGCATACAGGAGACAGTTGTGTAGCTGGGTCTGTTTGAGGGGCCCCTGGCAATGGGATAAGGATCTATCCCTGATGCATGAGCTGACTCTCTGGATCCCATTACCTAAGATCGAATACCTTGCTTACACTTGATGCAGAGGGGAGGGGCTTGGTCCTGCCTCAGCTGAATGTCCCAGGCTTAGCTGCCCCCCCCATGGGAGGACTTACGCTTTTGGAGGAGGAGATGAGGGGTGGGTCACAGGAGGGGGAGAAGGCTGGGGTAGGGGAAGCAGCAGGAGGAGGGATGAGATGGGGATCTGTGATTGATATGTAAAATGAATAAAAAATTAAAACAAACAAAAAAGATGAAAAAAAATCTCAAATTCTTGACCTAAATGAGTCCATAAAATGAAATTTCTGGGAGCATTAAAAATAAATGATTTTTAAAAGGAAATGATTTTATTGTCCTCTATTTGCTATCAAACTTCTTAAGAAGATATGAAACTAGCTTGATATGATCAAAGAGACTTGAGAACTCTTCTTCACTGTGGAAGAAATTTAAGGTACTTGTTCACAGTTATAGCTACAGAAATAAGAACAACAGTTTAAAGATGAATTCATCATCTTCTAGGACACTAAAGTGAAGGCTTTCTGGTTCCTGCTTTATATGCTTATGCTTGAACATGGTGTCGTCACCTGAGGGGCACTGAGACAGGGCTCATCAAAATTGATTCCACCCTAGTTCTTACATCTGAAACACCGTTATTAGAGATTCCCTTCTCTTGACTTCCTGCTTTAAACACACACATTCCTTCTATGCACATGACATTATACAACCCAGCACCAAAACAGTACTGTGGCTCAGATGTTCCTTCCAGGGCAGATGTGGGGGACTTCTTATAACACAAGCCTGACAGGGAGACTCGTCAAGAAATTTGAAAGTGTGCGGGAGATGACTGATGCCAAACATACCCTCTGTATGTGCCACAAATTTGGATAGGACTGATTCTTCTGTCCAAAACTCTTCAACATCCCAGCCTCCCATCATGCCCAAGCAAACATAAATCGTTCGCCTTAGTGGATCACTTTGTAGTTTTATTTGGTGAGTGAGGTCTCCATCCCAGATAAAAACAATATCCTTACCAACCACAGCATCTAGAAGGAAAGATAACTCAAAAAGTTCCGATCTCTGATGATGGGAGATAGCTCCATTGACAATGTGCTTGTCCCATGAGCATGAGAATTGGAGTTCAGATCTCCAGCACCCACACGAAGTATTCATCAGGGCAGCAGGAGCCTTCACTTCCCCATGTGGGAAGGCAGACACTATGGTACTTGCTTCTGTTAAGGGGCCCTGAGAAGTGAAAGGGGAAAGAGCCACCCGTGGAAGGAGTGAAGCATGTGGAAAGGCCTTGCTATATAACAACCTGCTTCAACCTGGTGCAGTTTCCAAGGCTGGAAGGCCCCAAAGCTGTTGCTAGTGGATTCAATAGAATGTGTGCTTTAAGAACAAGATTGTGTGGGAGTCGCAGAGCATTCACAGTGGGTGCACATGTGGTAGCCCACCACTTCGGCAGTGGTGGCCCAGCTTCTTGGCAGACTTTCTTGGGGTTGGAGAGTGGGAGGTGAGAAAGAGCTCTCCCTCCTCTGGGTGGGGGGGAGGGGGCTTGGGAAACCGGGACTAGAAGGGGCCCCCTATAAGGCAGTAAAACTTCCATGAAGGAATGGCTGTGCGGTGAATGTAGACAGATGATGAATTTGTTGTGTGCCCAACTCTGTTCTACTTGTCACACAGACACAGTCCTTAAGACATTACTTTGAGGAAATATGCCAGTGATTTGCAGTCGCTACAACCTATGGAGTTGCCGCTAGCAATGCATTAGTAAATTATGAACCACTGTTCATGGGGAAAATTCCGGGTGGAGTTGCTGGGAGCCTCCCTCTTGTCACATTTTTGGTTCTGTTTAAAGATACTTTTACTATAGTCCATTTATACCACAGCCTCCTTGGGCTTAGAGACATCAGACAACATTTCATCGCTACACTCAAGGCCACTGTAGTTTCCTTTGGGGTGAGATCTCTAGTATTGCAATGGTGATCCTCCTGCCTCTGCTTCCTCAGTGCTGGAATGATAGTCCTGAAATACCATGCTTATCTACTCTGGATCATTTTAGACAACAAATTCTCCAATACAGAACACAAAAGTGTGAAGTACATGACACTAGATATGCCTTTAAAAGATTTCTATTTATAGAACATGAGCATCAAAACAAGAAGACAGAATGTCTCCTTGTTTAAAGACACCTTTCTTACTATATTCTATCTATTAGCCCAGGAACTCAAAAGGCAATGTGCAAATTAGCCGACTCAAATATTCTTCCATTCTCTAAAGGTCTTCAATGCAAATACTGGCTTTGGTATCACCTATAAAATTCTGGAATGGACAAACTTGTGTGTATGGACTCCAAAGGTAATAAGCATCTTGACTCTATTGGATCTTTCTGTTAGGATGCAAGAAAGCTCAGGTGTAGAGAGTTTGCATCTCAGAGCTCATCCCCTGCCATCACCAAGTGTGAGTAAGAAGAGCGGGTGGCTGGAGGAAGCTGAGAATCCGAGGTCTGAGGGAGCCTCATAAGTGGATGAGAGCTGACTCAGTGCTGAGTTCAACCT